AGGAGTAGGGCAGTGGAGGAGGGAGGAGGACGAGGAAGAGGCAGGAGGAAGAGGAGGTGGAGAAGAAGAATCTCTGGCCTGTCCTAGACCAAAGACAAGATGCTGGGGCAGAATAATTAGTTGTTTGGTGTGTTGCACAGGACAGTACTAAGAAATAAAAAATGTGCAAATGTTTACAGTTGTTGTTTCTTTTGTTGTGTTCATCATGTGAAAAGGTTTCTGAAGGGGAGAACCACAAGCAACATTACTTATAATCAGTTTTTGTAGCATCATTTTGAATTTATCTCACCAGTGTCTAAGACTGTGTTGTAGTGTGTGTGTTTTTGAGGGCTTGGGTGTTATGTCTGAGGGCAAAGTTTGGTTTTTAAGCAAGATTGAATGGTTTTGAGTGGAGAGCTTCATTTTGACCTGAAAACTGGGTGAGAAGTTTTGTATTTGTATTTAGAGTTTCGAGAGAAAGAGGCACAATTTCAAGAAATGTGTTTAAGCAATCGAGAAAAACTGCAAGAGAAAGAAACAGGCAGAACAGAAAAGGCAGATGGGACAGAAGCATATAGGCAAAAGGAAAGGAGATCTGATCTCACGTAACTGCTGTTGCTTATAAAGAAACTGACAAGTTTATCAACCTCCAGATCATAATTATGTAACCGCACAGCCCGTCTTCTGAGTGAAAAGCCACATAATCCAACTAAATTGAGCTTCAGAGCAATGTTTTTGATAACAATAGTAATTGATTTTTCCCCTATAGTTTCCTATATTTATAGTTTATTTCAAAAAAAGATATTGACACTTTTTACTCGGATGATACTTATACTCGTAAAAAGTATCTGTACCGGATACTTGTTTCAACCAAGTACTCTCTCAACCCTAATAATTTGTTGATTGTGTGTATGTTTCTCTCAAGCTCAAAAGATGCAGCACCTAGGCAATTTATTTTCTCTTGCTCCCATCCCGCAACACTCGCCTTTATTATAACTTACATACATACGCTAGTTAAGTCAACATGACAAAAGTCTCAAATAGTCAACACAATGAATTAAAGAGGTGGTATTATGCTCATTTTCAGTTCAAAATCTTAATTAGGGGTTGTACCAGAACAGGTTTACATGGTTTAATTTTCAAAAAACACCATATTTTTCCTCATACTGCACATTGCTGCAGTTCCTCTTTTCACCCTGTGTTGTACGCTCCGCTCTTGAGCCACAGAGTGATGCATCTTACTTGTACAAAATCTTTGTTGGGAGTTGCACATGCACAGTTCCCAGGTAAGGACTACTAGCCAATCAGAAGCAGAGAAGGGCGGGTCGTAAGAAACAAGGTAGTGTGATCCAAATCAAAGCCGCTTCAGACTGAGACCGTAACCTAGCAGATGGTACAAGTCCACAACCACACAGCATCATTGTTCCACATCTTACCATCAGGACTAAACCGAAAAATGCTACCATAGCGCAAATCGATAAACTCGACTCTACTCGGCCCTGCTCCGTTTTCCATTGCAGATAGTACCCAGAGATAGTACGTAGCTTGTCGTCATAGCGATGCCACACACAACTGCTGTGACGTAATGTTCAATGCGACACAAACCCCAGGGATCCACACAGCTTTCTCTTTTTTAAGTTAAAACATTCCAACATTACTCAGAATGGGAACTCCCTTTGGGCTGGACTTAGGGCTTTTTCAATTGTAAACCTGTAACATGCACAAAAAGTATATATAACTCAATAAAGGAGAGGGAAAAAGCCAAAAAGCATAATACCACCTCTTTAATGCAAGTTTAACTTTCTAAAACTCATACGTTCAAAATTTAAAACTTGTCAGAGCTATTTGAGTTAAAAAGAAGAGGTAAGTTGACATGACTAAATGGGTCTATAATGTTTTACAGTGTAGTAAACTGCACAACCACCCAAACCAGCAACCCACAAGCTTCATCACTAAGCAATGGAATACTGCAGGCACACTGTGCACCACTAACCGCAGCACCAGACCAGAGAGATTAATGTGTGCACAGATCTCCTGTGCACTACTGGGATCACTGGAACATGCCAATGCACGTTTGGAAGGTGAAATTTACAGATGTATTTGGCTGAATCAAACGGATGTTATTAACTTATATGCTTAACTTATCAATGCACAAGGTCTGTGCGTTTGATTTTCTCAGCTCAAGTTAGTTTTTTTTTTTTTGCACCATACAGTCACTAATCCTTACCGCGCTACACCAACAAGTTGAGTCCTGACGTCCCCTGTACCGGGGGTAGCATGCGATTTTTGTGTAAAATGCAAATGAGAAATTCATGTCTAAAACTAGTATTACATCACCCTATCCATGCTAGACACCTCTGATCCACACCAAACACCCATCAAACACCAAGCATCTAAATGAGCTTGTATCACAACCTAAATCGCTCTGTGAGCACTGTACATGGCTGCAGTTATAAGCATTCAGTTATCTCTAATCACAACACATCCTCATGTCCAACCTCTCAAACCAAAGCTATTCTCTCCCTGAGATCAGCTGTATCACTCACATCACTCAAATCACCAAAATGAATGACTAATAAGCTGGATAAAAGTAACAGCAAACGTGCCAATATACATATACAATTACAACCGCTGACTTACTTTTGCCGTTTTCACCATCAGCCCAAAAATCAGCTGATTTGTTACTGAAAACATCACCAGGCGCCATCTTGATTATTGCGCAATACCTGGGAGCTGTGGCTGCATTCCTTCACCTTTTTATGCAGAGGAGGAGAAGTGCTGCTTTGGGTTTCCACAGTCTGGTAGTACCTGTAGTAGCTACATAAACATATAGGGTATCAAATGAAAGGTCTGCTCAATCTGTGATGATTGATACACCCCCTAACTTTACGTCATTTGGAACATGGTTGTTTAGTATAGTATAGTGTTTTAAAGATTACTCCCAATAAAAGTCAACATTTAAACAGTGAATGTTGCCAAAATATAGACATTCGCCTGGTATATTTAAAAACAATTGCATTCCAGGTGTATTAAAACATTCAGTTGCATTATAATCTATTTGATGATGGTTTTGATGGTTTATTGCATTAAAGATATAGCTTTTTTACCAAGCGAGGACAAAAATATCTCTTTTTTTTTTTTAAATATGTGAATTTACAATGGATTTATATTCCTTAGCTTCTGACCTTTCAAATGAGAATTATGCATCTAGGCCAAATGGTTGAGGAGTTATTACTGATTTATTTTAGGTATGTTATTTTAGGCTTTTTTCCTTGAAAAAGGTGGCAGTCACCAACAGGTTTAAATAAGGAAAATCAACATATACTATCACATTGCAGGCTGGCATTTATTTGATTAGCTGAAACTATGGTCACAATAACAAGGCAGGGCAGAGCTAACCCAAAACTGAACTTCTCCAACCCTACAGTACCCTCTAATATCATCTACAACGCTAACCTATCTTATTAATTCAAACCCAGTCGTTGTGCCACCACTTGTGGGGAACAGAAAACACCAGGGATCCCCTTATGCAGTCAAGTCTGGATGTGCTCCTCAGACGATTGCGCTCCCCACATTTGTAGCCTCAGCCCGAATTCATATGACTAATCTCCTTTTAAAAGCCATCTAAACCTATCTGGTGATAAATGGTTCTTTAACATCAAACAAGTTGTTGCAAACCAATCAGTACTTACTGTAGTGGATGAAGGCTTCTTACTAGCTTAAGACAAAGCAATACAAAGAATACACTGTCATAGTAAGATAAGTGTATTTTATTTTTTTTAAATAATTTTCAGCGTTTTGCAGTTTTACTGGATTTGATTTTAGAATATTGGCTTTGACCATTTGTTCTTTCTAAAATATAATGGTATATGCCAAAAACAGGCTCTGCCAACACATTCTCACTACCAACTGGTCACATAATGAACCTTAGTCAAGACCACAGACTGTACTCTTTTACCTTTAGTGTAGTTTGTGCACGTTAAGGGCTCCTCTGTAAAGTTAGCAAGAATAAATATGCAATGCTTGGTTCGATTTAAAACTCAGGAATAACGTAAAACCCATAATCTTTGTGTGAAACAGTCGCAGTTTGGGTAGGTTTAGGCAACAAAACTACTGGGTTAGGTTCAGGAAAATATCATCATCAGGGTTAAAATAAGTAGGTTAGTTACGTAACTAAAGTTATGTAAGAGATTACGAAACTCGAGGTTTCTCTATTAAATACAAATACAATGCTCCACAGAAGTGGAACAATCAGTTGAAGATTGTAAAATTAGGCAAGCTAATCCCTTTGGATAAATTTAAATCTCTTTTGCCTGACTTAGAGAAGTGTCAATGCATGTGTTTTTTTCTTTGAATTGATGTTTTCCCTCATGTCGGCCTATTTGTTATACAATTTGTTGGTGCTGCAATTAGGGTGTGCTCTCAATGAGCCTCTCAATTACACTATAACTATAAATATAACTATAATAAAAGCAATATATAATACAAGTTTAATGTATATTGTCTGCAGAACATATCATCCTCTGTATTGCTAATCTTGTATGCATTTTGGACAAATGCCTTATAACTATGTAAATGATATAATATGTGTTTCTCGGGCAAGAAGAATAACTTAATTCACAGGTTATTTCATGTTCAACTTCACTTTAGTACTTTCAGACAATACTGAATCAACTAACATGGACAAGGTTGATTATTAGAAAATAATTTATTTCTGTTCTGTTTTACAGAACAAATAAGAGCTACATGTAATATATACAAACACTCAAAAAGAATATTTACAGATACACTTATTTACATTATTCATACATTTAAGTGCCACTTGAGTATCGTCTCTCTTTCTCAGTTTAATTAAATTTAAATAATTTGCACGAAGGTTTAAAAAAATGTTGACAAAGCACCAAAATATAATTTGTCTAAACATTTGGACAGCACACAATACCGGTAATATGAGCAATAACTAATTCCAGGGCAACACATGCCCTGTCTCTTTCTCCTATGAGTATTTTTTAAGGTCTCATTAAGCTCTTTGGAATTTTGAAAGAGATTACAGAGTTAAACTTGTTTATTATTCACTGAATGTTTTACGTTGTAGGAATAGTTGCAACTCTGTCTCAGCCAGTGACCACCACTTTTGGTTTCCATGTTTCTTTGTGTCTTCCTTTTTCAATTGTTTGTGGTCACTGAGCCTGTACTTTTTTTAGGATCAGTCTCAAATTTTTCTTTCTGACAGTAGATATCTATTCTGCCAATTCATAATCCATCTCTCTCTCTTTCTGCAGAAATATAGTATTAAACATACTCTTCAGTACCCTGTTGTTCTACCCCAGGTGCATGGTCTTTGACGTGTGTCTCGTCATTTTCATCCTCTGATGCCTCACTTGCTACCCTCGCTTCTTCCATTCTTTCAAGCCTCATTTGCTCTAGTCTCAGTTGCTCTTTCTCGTTTAGTATTACTTCTTCTTCTATGGCTTTCTGCAGCTCTTTGCTGTCTTTCTTCTCGTTCTCAGCCTTCTCCATTTTTTCCTGCTTCTTCAGCTTCCAGAAGAAGCACAGGTTTTTCTCAGGGTAGGTGACTTTGGCCAGTGGCAGTTTGAAAATCTTATTGGTCCCCGTTGTTAAGAGGAGGAAAGTCAGGGCAGAGAGACAGAAGGGCCAGGTGCAGGCTGGAAGACCAAACTGAAGAATGATGAAAGATACAGTATATTGCCAGTCAGTAACTTAGAAATAATAATAAATAATAGAAAAGTTAGAGAAAATGTGTAATTACCCTGGACATGATATTGCTGATGGCTGAGCCGTGGTATGCACAGAAAAAAGCTGCATAGGAGGAGAAGAGAGATACATGATGACATTTACGTGCATGCGGTGATCAAAGATTACAAATATCTTGCCATTCTCTGCCACTGTTGCACTTTGTTACATGTAACCTGATCATCATGTCTGGATTAGATGCATTTCCCGATAGTGGTTTTATCTTCGTGTTTGTCCACTCACCGCATGTGATGGCAAGCAGGTGCACCTGCCAGGTGAGAGCGTAAAACATTCCGCCGATGGCAATGCAGGCCAACACACAGTTGTATCCCCAGAGGCCAGCGTAAATGTTTCCAAAAGGAGCTGCCAGAGCCAGGCCTGCACAATGTAAAAACACAGCCATCAAGGAAATGCCAAATGAATTTTAAATTTAGTTTATCGCCTGGTTAATTTGCACCTTAAACTGATATTTTTGGTGTCATCTTGGAGCTGGAACATATTGATTTTGTTTCTTGAATTCTGTAAGCATGCAAGGAAGCAAACATAAATTGTGCTGTTCAGTGAGGTGAGACAGAATGACTTTTACATTAGTTGTCACTATTGTCCACCCTTCCTATATCTGCTGCCTGCTGAGGTATTGTCTTGCCCTCTCACCAGAAACCATGCCCACGGCTGATCCCAGGATGGCATGAGCGCAGGTGATAGGGGAGGAGATGAAGAGTGAGATAATGAAGATTCCTCCTGTCCAAGGGTTGTCACAGCCGTAGACCTGGCCTATCCCCACAGGCACTGACATGAACAGCTAAAGAGGTACAAACAGAAAGGTTAAACATAATTCAAAGCATTATTTAAACCTAACAATCCTTCTCTGTGTCACTCCCCTTTAAGCTAGCTTGATATACATATTATATACATATTTCTCCTACAGAAAGTTTTGAACCACTACCTTGCAGAAAACAAGTTACTTAATAATGTTAGTACTGGGCTAGAAGCCAGAGATCAGGTGATATTTTCTGACAATGAAAAGGCTGAGGAATCTGGCTGGTCTAAATTACATAATGTTGAAATGTCAGCAGACACTGACCTTGGTTACACTGACTTCAGCCCAGGTGATGTTGGGCGTCTCTGAGAGAGGCTGAATGAGGACTTGGGGGAAGTATTGGTTGTAGTGGCCGGTGGCGACCATGTGGAGACACACCAGGATGTTAAAGGGCAGAGTAAACACTGGCAAATCCCAGCGGCTGTTTATAGATGCCAAAGCACTGGACACAATCGGGCTGAAAGACAAGGAGACAACATCACCAGTATTAGATTTAATCCACATTTAACTCACACAATTATTAAGTATATATATTCAAATGTGTACATATATCTCAATCACCTTCATAGAGGCTTCTGCACATTTCCTACTCATATTATTAATATAATATTGTTATAAATAAATAGTCTTCAAATAGAAATGCAAAACTGAAACCAGTAAGCCTTGAACGTCATGACATTGGTCATGCTACAATAAGCTTATAATGTTTTGACATTTTACATGTTATGGTTTTGTTAATTAACTTCCTTACATCTACCTCACATATCGTAAATACCCTTCTATGGTATTATTCAACCTTTAGTCAATCTAGCTGCTTACCACATCATGGACATGAAGATGTTGGGTAGCAGGAGCCACCAGTACCAGTCTCCTGCTTTGGAGAACACAGCCATCAGCAGTCCCACCAGGATGCCATTGTAACCATATAGCCCTGCAGCTACTGCACCTCTGAAGTAAAGTTATTTGAATGAATGAATGTTTACAGTGTAACGTTTTCTTACATAACCATTTCACATTCTTCTGCCACAAGGAAATTATTATCTAGTTATGTTTACATTTTTGCGCTGTGTTTCATGTCAACACACTGAACACACTCAGTTATGTTAGCCTACTGTTCTTGTTATTGATAGCTAATTCTAAAATACTTTGGGGATCTTGATTAAGTGTAAGTGTGAATGAAGCCACAGTGTCAATGAGGTATGGTATCCACACTGTAAAATCCAACTTTCTCTATGCTTTAACATCTAATTACAGTTTAATTTGTTATTTTCTTTAGCATCAGTTTGTTCAAACCTGTTCTGTTGTAGAATAAGGGCAGAAATTGTGGCAAAGAGGGTGCCCACAAAGCCGTTGAGAGCCCACCAGTAGTTCTGCAGGATGAGGCCAGCAAAAATAATGAGGCCACTTAGAGGGTTGTTGACAAACATCACCTGAGCTGCTCCACGCAAAATCCAGTCCAGCAACTGCAGCAGGAAAAACTGTTCTGGAGGTTGGAAAGAGACAGTGCGTCACAATTCTATCGTCCAAGGTCACAGATGCCAAATCTCATGTGGACAACAAGGGATCATAAGTTATTCTGCTTTTTAGAAAAGTAACATATCTTGACAGGGAACATGCTGCTCATTGTTGGTCTGTTAAACTATCTAAATCATGGTTTGCCTGAAGGGCAGTGTCAAGTTCCTGCCACGAGTTTGTCAGTGACACATTTGTACATGTCTTACAGGTCATGCAGTATTAGCTAATTATTTGAATTGTTGTTTTCTTCTTTCTATTCTTTTCTTCTTGTTTGCCTCTCCAAATAATAACTGTGTCATCCACTGCATCATCCATTGTAGCCTCTTTTTCCTATTTGTAGTGGAGATGAGTGGTACCCAGTGGGGTCTTCTGCTGTTGTAGCCCATCCGCCTCAAGGTTGTGCGTGTTGTGGCTTCACAAATGCTTTGCTGCATTCCTCGGTTATAACGAGTGGTTATTTCAGTCAAAGTTGCTCTTCTATCAGCTTGAATCAGTCGGCCCATTCTCCTCTGACCTCTAGCATCAACAAGGCATTTTCGCCCACAGGACTGCTACATACTGGATGTTTTTCCCTTTTCACACCATTCTTTGTAAACCTTAGAAATGGTTGTGCGTGAAAATCCCAGTATCTGAGCAGATTGTGAAATACTCAGACCGGCCCGTCTGGCACCAACAACCCTGCCACGTTCAAAATTGCTTAAATCACCTTTCTTTCCCATTCTGACATTCAGTTTGGAGTTCAGGAGATTGTCTTGACCAGGACCACACCCCTAAATGCATTGAAGCAACTGCCATGTGATTGGTTGATTAGATAATTGCATTAATGAGAAATTGAACAGGTGTTCCTAATAATCCTTTAGGTGAGTGTATAATACAAGTTTAATGTATATTGTCTGCAGAACATATCATCCTCTGTATTGCTAATCTTGTATGCATTTTGGACAAATGCCTTATAACTATGTAAATGATATAATATGTGTTTCTCGGGCAAGAAGAATAACTTAATTCACAGGTTATTTCATGTTCAACTTCACTTTAGTACTTTCAGACAATATTGAATCAACTAACATGGACAAGGTTGATTATTAGAAAATAATTTATTTCTGTTCTGTTTTACAGAACAAATAAGAGCTACATGTAATATATACAAACACTCAAAAAGAATATTTACAGATACACTTATTTACATTATTCATACATTTAAGTGCCACTTGAGTATCGTCTCTCTTTCTCAGTTTAATTAAATTCAAAAGGCTTAATTTGCACGAAGGTTTAAAAAAATGTTGACAAAGCACCAAAATATAATTTGTCTAAACATTTGGACAGCACACAATACCGGTAATATGAGCAATAACTAATTCCAGGGCAACACATGCCCTGTCTCTTTCTCCTATGAGTATTTTTAAGGTCTCATTAAGCTCTTTGGAATTTTGAAAGAGATTACAGAGTTAAACTTGTTTATGTAAATATTCCTTATTTCACTGAATGTTTTACGTTGTAGGAATAGTTGCAACTCTGTCTCAGCCAGTGACCACCACTTTTGGTTTCCATGTTTCTTTGTGTCTTCCTTTTTCAATTGTTTGTGGTCACTGAGCCTGTACTTTTTTTAGGATCAGTCTCAAATTTTTCTTTCTAACATTAGATATCTATTCTGCCAATTCATAATCCATCTCTCTCTCTTTCTGCAGAAATATAGTATTAAACATACTCTTCAGTACCCTGTTGTTCTACCCCAGGTGCATGGTCTTTGACGTGTGTCTCGTCATTTTCATCCTCTGATGCCTCACTTGCTACCCTCGCTTCTTCCATTCTTTCAAGCCTCATTTGCTCTAGTCTCAGTTGCTCTTTCTCGTTTAGTATTACTTCTTCTTCTATGGCTTTCTGCAGCTCTTTGCTGTCTTTCTTCTCGTTCTCAGCCTTCTCCATTTTTTCCTGCTTCTTCAGCTTCCAGAAGAAGCACAGGTTTTTCTCAGGGTAGGTGACTTTGGCCAGTGGCAGTTTGAAAATCTTATTGGTCCCCGTTGTTAAGAGGAGGAAAGTCAGGGCAGAGAGACAGAAGGGCCAGGTGCAGGCTGGAAGACCAAACTGAAGAATGATGAAAGATACAGTATATTGCCAGTCAGTAACTTAGAAATAATAATAAATAATAGAAAAGTTAGAGAAAATGTGTAATTACCCTGGACATGATATTGCTGATGGCTGAGCCGAGGTATGCACAGAAAAAAGCTGCATAGGAGGAGAAGAGAGATACATGATGACATTTACGTGCATGCGGTGATCAAAGATTACAAATATCTTGCCACTCTCTGCCTCTGTTGCACTTTGTTACATGTAACCTGATCATCATGTCTGGATTAGATGCATTTCCCGATAGTGGTTTTATCTTCGTGTTTGTCCACTCACCGCATGTGATGGCAAGCAGGTGCACCTGCCAGGTGAGAGCGTAAAACATTCCGCCGATGGCAATGCAGGCCAACACACAGTTGTATCCCCAGAGGCCAGCGTAAATGTTTCCAAAAGGAGCTGCCAGAGCCAGGCCTGCACAATGTAAAAACACAGCCATCAAGGAAATGCCAAATGAATTTTAAATTTAGTTTATCGCCTGGTTAATTTGCACCTTAAACTGATATTTTTGGTGTCATCTTGGAGCTGGAACATATTGATTTTGTTTCTTGAATTCTGTAAGCATGCAAGGAAGCAAACATAAATTGTGCTGTTCAGTGAGGTGAGACAGAATGACTTTTACATTAGTTGTCACTATTGTCCACCCTTCCTATATCTGCTGCCTGCTGAGGTATTGTCTGGCCCTCTCACCAGAAACCATGCCCGCGGCTGATCCCAGGATGGCATGAGCGCAGGTGATAGGGGAGGAGATGAAGAGTGAGATAATGAAGATTCCTCCTGTCCAAGGGTTGTCACAGCCGTAGACCTGGCCTATCCCCACAGGCACTGACATGAACAGCTAAAGAGGTACAAACAGAAAGGTTAAACATAATTCAAAGCATTATTTAAACCTAACAATCCTTCTCTGTGTCACTCCCATTTAAGCTAGCTTGATATACATATTATATACATATTTCTCCTACAGAAAGTTTTGAACCACTACCTTGCAGAAAACAAGTTACTTAATAATGTTAGTACTGGGCTAGAAGCCAGAGATCAGGTGATATTTTCTGACAATGAAAAGGCTGAGGAATCTGGCTGGTCTAAATTACATAATGTTGAAATGTCAGCAGACACTGACCTTGGTTACACTGACTTCAGCCCAGGTGATGTTGGGCGTCTCTGAGAGAGGCTGAATGAGGACTTGGGGGAAGTATTGGTTGTAGTGGCCGGTGGCGACCATGTGGAGACACACCAGGATGTTAAAGGGCAGAGTAAACACTGGCAAATCCCAGCGGCTGTTTATAGATGCCAAAGCACTGGACACAATCGGGCTGAAAGACAAGGAGACAACATCACCAGTATTAGATTTAATCCACATTTAACTCACACAATTATTAAGTATATATATTCAAATGTGTACATATATCTCAATCACCTTCATAGAGGCTTCTGCACATTTCCTACTCATATTATTAATATAATATTGTTATAAATAAATAGTCTTCAAATAGAAATGCAAAACTGAAACCAGTAAGCCTTGAACGTCATGACATTGGTCATGCTACAATAAGCTTATAATGTTTTGACATTTTACATGTTATGGTTTTGTTAATTAACTTCCTTACATCTACCTCACATATCGTAAATACCCTTCTATGGTATTATTCAACCTTTAGTCAATCTAGCTGCTTACCACATCATGGACATGAAGATGTTGGGTAGCAGGAGCCACCAGTACCAGTCTCCTGCTTTGGAGAACACAGCCATCAGCAGTCCCACCAGGATGCCATTGTAACCATATAGCCCTGCAGCTACTGCACCTCTGAAGTAAAGTTATTTGAATGAATGAATGTTTACAGTGTAACGTTTTCTTACATAACCATTTCACATTCTTCTGCCACAAGGAAATTATTATCTAGTTATGTTTACATTTTTGCGCTGTGTTTCATGTCAACACACTGAACACACTCAGTTATGTTAGCCTACTGTTCTTGTTATTGATAGCTAATTCTAAAATACTTTGGGGATCTTGATTAAGTGTAAGTGTGAATGAAGCCACAGTGTCAATGAGGTATGGTATCCACACTGTAAAATCCAACTTTCTCTATGCTTTAACATCTAATTACAGTTTAATTTGTTATTTTCTTTAGCATCAGTTTGTTCAAACCTGTTCTGTTGTAGAATAAGGGCAGAAATTGTGGCAAAGAGGGTGCCCACAAAGCCGTTGAGAGCCCACCAGTAGTTCTGCAGGATGAGGCCAGCAAAAATAATGAGGCCACTTAGAGGGTTGTTGACAAACATCACCTGAGCTGCTCCACGCAAAATCCAGTCCAGCAACTGCAGCAGGAAAAACTGTTCTGGAGGTTGGAAAGAGACAATGCGTCACAATTTTATCGTCCAAGGTCACAGATGCCAAATCTCATGTGGACAACAAGGGATCATAAGTTATTCTGCTTTTTAGAAAAGTAACATATCTTGACAGGGAACATGCTGCTCATTGTTGGTCTGTTAAACTATCTAAAACATGGTTTGCCTGAAGGGCAGTGTCAAGTTCCTGCCATGAGTTTGTCAGTGACACATTTGTACATGTCTTACAGGTCATGCAGTATTAGCTAATTATTTGAATTGTTGTTTTCTTCTTTCTATTCTTTTCTTCTTGTTTGCCTCTCCAAATAATAACTGTGTCATTGAACTGAGGGTGGAGTAACTGACATACAGATTGTTGATATGCAGCTCACTCTGCATATCAACATTCACTTTGCAGGTGTACATACTAAAAGCTGTTCCAACTTCAAGAGCTTTTCCATGAAGAGTGGTGTAGGGATTCCGTATATTTTGCCCAAAGGTAAAAGTATCATTATTATTATTATCTTTTGTAATTTTATATTCTGTAATTTTATAATCATGTCATTTCTATTATATAGTGTACTGCCTTTGTGTGGGTCATGGTAGCATTTTTTGACGTGAAAACAATTAGCGTTGACCTACTTTCCATCCATTTTCCAAACACTTTCATGTCTCCGGAGAAGTAAGAGACTCCCTTGAGGAAGCAGGCTCTGGCCCTCTGCAGGGCTTTGCGTCCAGGCTGCATGGGGTCCTTCTCCTTTCTGTCCTCCTGAGAGTTGTTATGCTCAGACTGTGGGTGCGCCATCAGGGGCTGGAGCTCCTGCAGCCAGCATTACAGTTAGAAATTAATTACAAGGACTATTTGAAGCATGTAAAAATGAACACAGCATCTAACTTATACTGTACATCTAAACT